CTCTCTCTCTCCTTCCCTCCCTCTCCCTCTCTCTCCCTCCCTCCCTCCCTCCCTCCCTCTCTCTCTCTCTCTCCTTCCCTCCCTCTCCCTCTCTCTCTCTCCCTCCCTCCCTCTCTCTCTCTTTCTCTCTCTGGGGGGGGCTTTAAGGCTGCAGACCTTCTGGACCTCCGTCTTCTTGTAGGTTCCAACCAATTGCTTTGTATCTCGTCGAGGTCCGCAGGTGGTCAAAATAGCTGCGATCAGAATACGCAGATAAAGAGCGTTACGCTGGCATTGAAGGCAAGCGGAGGCAGCGGACGGGTCCCAGGCTCACTCCCAATGTCTAGCCTGGGACCCGGGGCAGCTCCTCCGGACTAACAGACTGCCTGCTAGTCACAGACTGCTGTGAACCCTGTAAATATAAAAATTCAGTTGGAAACTGGAAACTTAATGACATCCAATCTTTTTTTATTGACAATAAACCTTCGGTCCATTATAACTGAAGCCACATTTTCTGTCAGAAGGATGTTGTTTGTGACTTTTACGCAATTTCTCAAATCTGGGTTTTGTTTTCGAGTGACTCTCACTTCTCCTTCAACATTTGTTTCGGATCTATATTTGTCCTTGATAGTAGCAATCGCAGAAAATCCTTGCTTGTCCGCAGAGTAAAAGAGTGAATTTGAACCACAAACCCTCCTTGAATTCACACATAGATGAGAGAACTTGGGGAGGGTCGAGCCCACAAAACTCTAGACTGGGGCGTGTTCAGGAAAGCAGGACCAGTTTGGGAACAGGCAGCCCATTCAGTCTAGTGCAGGGGTAGGCAACCTTGGCTCTTTTATGACACGTGGACTTCAACTCCCAGAATTCCTGAGCCAGCCATGCTGACGGGAAAGGGAGAGGTTTTCAAGCTGAGCCATGCTAGCTCAGGAATTCTGGGAGTTGAAGTCCACGCATCATAAAAGAGCCAAGGTTGCCTACCCCTGTCCTAGGACGAAGATTAAGAGCAGGGGTCTTCAAATTTGGCCCTTTTACGACTTGTGGACTTCAACTCCCAGAATTCCTGAGCCAGGATGATTCAGCTTGGAAACCTCTCCCTGTCCCCTCAGCATGGCTGGGTCAGGAATTCTGGGAGTTGAAGT